TCGTTTGTGTAGAAAAAACGATTTTTTTACGACGACAAACATCGATCGCATAGAGTTTTACTTTTTTATGGAACCAAAAACTATATAATTAAAATACACTTTATTGTGTAGATTGTAGAGTTTTTCACGCTGCAGCTTGTAGTTAGAGCCCTGCAGGTTATAGGTAACCTGCCCTGCCCTGCCCTGTCAGGCCAGGGCAGGTTGCAGGGTACGAGTATCGTAACCTGTCAACCTGTGACTAGTTTTATACGTTAGATATTATAGATATCTTTTCTAAAGTTATGCATTAAGAAAAAAAAATAGAAGTGAAAGTGAACTGAAAAATCAATTTAGATTAGTCGCAAAGATACTCATAGAAGCAGATATGTTGGTAACCTATCCATTATAAATTGTGTAGCTACTCAAGTGTGCATTTAGTTTTCTTATTTTGAGTTTTATCTTGCTCTTTTCTTTATTATCATCATTAACTAAGCTCTCAAATATCATCATCAATATCAGTTAGATTTTCTTGCTAGTGAAATATCAACTATGTCTAATTCAAAAAAAGATATGGAATGAAAAAAGAAACAGATGATAGAAAAACTTAAAACTGGTGAATTTATAGCTATAGTAGAACAGCCATCATCATCTTATGGTTCATCTTTGGAATATTTATTACATATTAAATGTTTCAATAATGAATATCAACCATTCGTACAACGTCGATTGTTCTATGAGATATTATTATATTCCATATCAAATGGAACTTCTACTACTAGCTATCATTATAAAAATTGTTTAGATGAATCAAATACATTAAAAAACAAGAAATCTCTTAATAGGGTGTGGATGTGCGAAGAGAAGATTCATACCCCACACCACACCCACATCAGAGCATATTTTTAGCTCATCAGGTCGAGTATTAGAAAAAAGAAGGCAGTTTTTAAATCTAGATATTGTTGATAATATTTTGATGATTAGAAATTTTCGAGATATATAATGTTGTTTGGTTTTGCTTTATGGTTGTAACAAATCGAAATGAAATTTTATAATAAATTGATACAAAAGTTTGGAATTTTCTTCGGTTTTAAAGAAAACAGGGCAGGGCAGGCTAAAGGTTATGAAACAAATTCATAGGGCAGAGCAGGGCAGGGTACGCGAAAAAGTTTGCAGGGCAGGGCGGGGTCAGGTTGTCAAAATCTCAGCAAGGCAGGTTGCAGGTTGTCAAAATAGCGTAACCTGCAGCCCTCTACTTGTAGTGTATTTTATTTTCTTGACACAATGTATCAAGTGATGGAAACATGAAGTGTAAAAGTGGCCCATTTATTGTACGCCAACTACTATTTTTGCGACATGGAGAAAAATAAGATTTCAAGAATGTTAGTCTATACATCTCCCTTATTCGTCAGGATAGAGAGCTGAAAATGTAGGATAATATTCGCCATGTTACAAGGAATGAGATACCAAAGTTTGAGCATTTTGGAGTTTGCTATAAGGGGGAACGAACAATTTTTCTGAGAGGTACCAAGACTTTTGGATCATCCTGTATATATATATATATGGAAAAGATAGAAGTCGAATCAATTTGTTTTTAAATTAAACAAAACTGAGTTCTGCTTGATTTGTACTTCTTACAAGACTTCATTCAATTTGATTCGGACAGTCGTGATCTAGTCTTAGTTGAACTCTATAGAATGTAGATTTTATTGAATCATTTCAAGCAAAATAACAGTTTCTTTCTTTTGCACTATTTTAACTCGTTTACTAGACAAATGAGATATAAAAACGAAAGTTCCATTTACATTAATTAAGTTCGTATATAATTCAAAGAGAGTTGAGACATTTTAAAAGCATTTTATTCTTGAATGTTCTTGAATCACATAAGCTAGACAAATAGTTGAAATTGGTTCTGAAACAATCAGCAAGATATATTTCGAACATTATCTCGGTATAAACAGTAAATATTAATCTAGCAAATTCTTAATTTATCTTCGTCTTTAACGCTTTCTAGACTGTCTTCTGATGAACTTGACATTAAAGAAGAATGTCTGAGACTAATTCCAGGAAAACGTAATCAATCACATAGTTCCACCAACATACATACATAGGATTTGGGTCCAGCTGTGAGTTAGGAGATAATAGACACCCACGTTCTCAAGTGTGTCATATGTGACCTATATCTATATGTAAGGAGGTCTCACATTTTCGACTGACGTCGGAAGTGAAAGCAGGAGACTCCTACACGCTCTCTCCCTCCCACAATTATTGAAAATTATTCATTATCACTCAATAAAATTATCAACATCTTTGAATTTTTTACTATTTTCATAAGACATACATCCTATTACCACCTTTTCTGGATGAGTTATGAAATACTCGCGCAATTTTTAAAAGTAATAGTAGGCATATGCCATTCTTTAGAGAAAGAAAAATCAATTCTAATCCTTACCTTCTATCTACAGGACATACTAGTCGATAGAATAAATACTAAAGCTGAAGAAATATGAATCTAAATATAAATCATAATTATGTGAAATAAATCAACAAAAATATTTCTTGCTTCTTGAAAAAATAATGATATTTTGTTAAGAACAACTATCATTATATACATACTTAATGAGTATTATCAAACGAGAGAGAGAGAAAGGGAAAAATTCAAGTCAGGTTGTTACCAACTTGACCTTTTCAATTTAAAATGAGTCATCTGATCTTTTCTCCTTCTCTTACTCAAACGATTGGATAAGTTTCCCTTTGTGTAATTATTGCTCCATGACATGAATGAAGCCATAAAGGACGTGGATCAGGAAGAACACAGGTGAACTCACTTTCTACCTCACTCATCTATTTATGATGCGATTCTCCTCTTTATCTATCGTCATACATATTTTCATAAACTTGTTTACGTCATAATTAGTTATATCCAACATGCTTATATTCTGTGGCTGTCACATTCATCCCACCAGTAGATTATCTTATTTTATTTTGTGCATTTGTCAGAAATTAGATCAGCTAGAATAATCTGTTTTTCGTTAGAGTACAAGTCATAGTCTTTTAGTATTCTAGTATATTAATAAAAAAATTAGGTCAAACATCCTTCAAAAAAATTTTTAAAGCAGTATGAATTTTTGCGAAATTTTTTCCGTACAAAAGTCTTGAAATCAAAATAGACTGTACCATCTAATTTGTATACATTTTTTTAATGTTCTCAATGGCAGGAGTAAAAAGCGTATCGAAGTCTCAGCAACAGACTGGATGTATTGTAGCTCACCAAACTATGTTCTATCAAATGAAACTTAACATTATACGTTGTTCTAAATTTCATCTTTTATCTACATAGACGTGACGAGCAAAATTTAACTATGTATGTAGTTAGATCTATACTTAGGTTGTTTCTGAGACTGCACCATGCCTTTTACTCCTATCATCTATAATACAACAAAGATATTTCACTTAAGTGACGTAAATTAAACAGAGGTTACGAAACTTTTTCCAATAATGCAGAGAAACTACTGAGTTAATGATGAAACTAAAGAGTCCCCAGTAAGTTATTTCCCGGTAATTTTAATGGGTTCAAATTAGGAATACCAATTATAAGTTCGTACAGCAAGAATAATGCATTTTATGAACTACAACAAGCATTATCTGACTTTGCCATCAAACTTGCTCTTTATGGGTTCATCGGTGCAGCAACTGCTATTGGATTAGCTTTCTTCATCATCTTTTTTCTTCTAAAATTATGTGCCAGTCAACTTATCAAATGCTCATTTACCATAATTATTATGATGCAAATTCTTTTGGGAATATTTCGTTTCTTTATATATTGGCCATTATGCTTGACACCTGTCGGTTTTCTATTAATCACATTAATTTATTTGATATGTGTTCGAAAGCTAATCTCATTTGCTGAAGCTCACTTACAAACAGACTGTGCTTCTTTACATAGTCATCCATCGTTGATATTAGTAGCGATCGTCATACTCATTATTGAATTCTTATGGTTTATCTTCTGGTTTCTAATGGTACTGGGTATTCAATGTTCTTTCTTTAATTCTACATCAGTTAAAACGAAGAGGAATATAAACGATACAACAGAATTTTATATGTCCAATACAAAACCTACATGGATGATGATAACTAATCGTGCTATTGATGAGAAAAACATTTTGCGTGCACATTGCTCAACGATGGACAAATAAGATCATAGAATAGTTACATAAGAATGTATTATCAAGCCAGAAAAACAATATTTGATGTTCGCAATTTTTGCTTGTTAGAATCGAATTCAACACATCAAGACTTTCGATTATTCACGAACAGTTACTATTTTAAAATGAATTATTAATCTGTCCAAAATCTCTGCCGGAATCCTAGCGTGACTATGAGTATGGAAATTGGTGAAGAAAGCACTCACACTGATACTATAAAATGAGCTGATTACATAATAGTTCCGTATTTTCCACGAAAATAGTTCTGTCGGACTAATAAAATGATCTTCGAGTATTGATATGAACATGATCGCATGGTACAACACCAAAAGCACGTATTGTATGGTACTCGAGGGTATGGATGTAGATGAAAGCAACATACATCCACACATCACACTCACATCCTACTTGTAGGGAAGATACTGAGCTATTGAATCTGCTGATAAGCAGTGCTCCACACTGCAACGTAGCTGAAAAACGAGGATATTCTTTCTTCTTGAGGATGTGAGTCTTTGCGAAGAGAAGACGCATACTCACATTCATACTCACATCCCTGCGAATTGATAGAAGTTGGAAAAAATAACGTTTTTTTCCGTTAAAACAAGAGGAATTAATCGAGAGCGAGTAAACACTTCAATGAAGTAGAAGTATTTGAGAATAACAAAATTTTTGTACAATTTACTTTTGCACAGAATCTATTTCGTCATCATCTATCTCATATGACACAATGACATTAAAATATTTTAAAGAAATCATCAATCAATGCATGGAGTCGTTGTTCTTATCATCGAGAATTAATGTCCGCAATATTTCTATTCATGAATATAACCATGATTTTAAATCTGGTTGCCGAGCAAGACTTTCAATCGTATAGGCACCTGCTTGAATCATTTTCTCATAACCAAATACATTGATATTCTGAATTGAATCACATGCCTTGTGATAACATGGATCATGATCGATATTTACCATACCGCATTTGTCTGGCCCAAGAAATTGATCATAGCGATCACACTGCTCTTGTGTTTTAATTTCACTGGAACCGGAATAAAGGCCGCCAATGGGTATGCCTTGAATTAAAAATGGAGCATAATCACTGCCATAACCTAATTCAACAAAATCCCAAGGCAAATTCTGTCGAATAAACCAATCACGAAATACTTCTGAAATTTTGTAACTACCGACAATAGCCAATGGTGTAGTGTCATTTTCCGCTGTTCGACCATCATAAATACCGAACATGAAATTAGGTGAACCAAGCATGTCAAAATTGAGATATGTCACATAGTCAGTGAGGCGTTCACCAACAACGGTCGAATTTTGGGCTTGTGCAACATGAAAATATGAACCAAGAAGTCCAATTTCTTCAGCACCCCACCAACAAAATCGTAAACGATACTTATATTTGGTATAAGTCGTTGTTTGAAAGAGACGTGCCACAGCTACAGCCCATGCAAGATTAGCTGCACTACCACTACCTAAAATAAAATCTTTATATCTAATTTTTCTATACAATATTTCAAATTCACCATTGTCATTAATACCAGGTCCAGCATGCACACTATCACTATGACTACCAATCACAATTGTCTGAGTAGGATCACCAGTGGGTGTATCAGCACAAATATTTCCGATTGGAAACGGTTTATCGTTCATTAGCGTAATAACGATACGAACACTGGCTTTGTTCGATGGATTTTGAGCTGCATTAACAAGCCTTTCTCCGAGACTGAATGAAAGAGAGAATGCTGGTATAGTATTGTTTTGTCCCAATCTCACAATCATTGGTGACATGCGATTGGCCGATGTTCCATCATTGTATAGGAGGAGAGCTGCTACATTAAACTTCGTAGCAAGCATACTTTGTTCGATAAAACTACATCCGCCCCGTTTAACTAAAGCTACAAGACCTGAAGCCGGTGGATTTGCTGAAATCCAATCGGTGTCCGAGCAGCCAACATTTGGAATGACAGTTATTGGAATAAAATTCGAAAAGTTAACCGATGTTGAATATCGAACTTTGAAGAATTCAGTCAGGGAAAGATCTTCTGAATAAGTATGATTCGTAATATTTTCGTCAATTGATGATTGAAGAATAGGATCATGTTTGAGTGTATGATCTCGTGCATGAAAAAAGCTTTTGATAATTTTAAAATTAGTATTAGCAGATAAATAGTTTGTTAAATAGTCGAGTGTATGATTGAAGCCTGGTGTGCCAGCAGCACGAGTTCCATTGGCGGCTGTAGCAATACGTTGTAGTTCATTGAGATGTTCCATGGCTTCATCAATTCGAATTGATCCAGCTAATGTAGAATCGAGAGATCGTTCATTTCGATATCGATCATTGATAAGAACTGATTTCGCTGTAGATGAACGAAAATAAGTAAATTGAAATAGAAATCCTAGTAAAACAGCTGCTACAAAATGTTTTTTCATTATTACTTCAATGTCAACGCTAAGCAATTACATCAACTTAATTTTTTGACGACTAACCTAACATATTTTTTTCAAAAAAAAACACACATACAGCAATGGCTTATAGTTGATATTTACCATTAAGATTAACAAGAGAGAAAACTATTCTTTTTTGTTTTTTATCATAATAGTCAAATATCATATTGACAACAGTAGTGAAAAGGATCATTTCGAAATTGAATGGCAGGAGTGGTCGAGTCTATGGCGAGGATGTTCGTTGAACATATTTACTTGTGCAGAAGCTACTGTAGAATAATACTATACAGATGCGGATGTACTATAAGGATTTAGAGTGACAGTTGCTTGTGTTTCTTCTTGACATCATTGTGATAGTTATGATGTTTTTCATAGTTTCAAAAGGATAAGGAAAATGATTGTTCCTAATCCTGCTTGTGCTTTGGTATTTCTAAAGACAAAACATATTGTCTTTCAATTTAGCATATCATCAATCAAGTTAAACTTTGTGTTTGATCATTTCACGAAGAAGGAAAGACAATAAAAAGTATACAATGGATGCGACGAACGTTCGATAATGCGAAATATATATTTTATTGTCTGTTCTGTTTTGATTTCGAACCCTTTGCTAGCCATCGGATTTCGATTAATCGAGCAAAACAAAGATGTCGGAAGAACTGTTTCGAGCACTCCAGTAGAAACAAGCCAAGCATAAAAGCAGTTTGAAGTGGATTCCTTATATGGCATCTGAAACTGACAAAAAAGTCAATTCGTTAGTTAGACAGGTGAAAAATGTGTTTTTTGCCGGTTGAACTTTTTATTTACTAATTTTTGAAAACTGTAAGTAAATGTTAAAATTCAAAGTACTATTAGGAATGATGAATTTATATTTGACTGTTTATCATAAGTACTCATGCTCTAATCTTCTCCTCCACATTTATTCGGTAGGTTTCGACAACTCGAGACTGAGACATCTATTAAAAGAATTCTTTTTATTTTGATTCTCTCAGTTAAAATTGTTCGACTGGTCGAAAACATCATGTTTTATTGATCCATCATCGAGCTCTCCACCTATCGGAAAATGAGAATTTCAGCATTCTGTTTCAAATTTCGATGCCAACGACAGCCTCAAATAGATACGTCGAAATGCCTATCGGATGACCGCTTGAGTGATGTTCTTAGCGATAAATTCAAAGAATAGACACAAGAGTGACGGACAATATTGAATACAGAGTGTGTTGGTGTGAATGAAACGGAGACTGTTCTAGATGCTGGAAACATCACTGTACCTTAAGATTACAACAGATTGGAGTCTCCTCTCTCTCTCTCTGTGAGTGAATGCAGGAATTTTATAATATATTAAAGTTATTTTTATATTCGTTTACGAGAATGTATATACGTATCAATTGATTGTCATCATAAGAGTAAAGTTTACAAAAATTTTCTCAACTAGATTATTTATTTTCTTAGTTAAATAGAATTACATTCGGAGAAAAAAAAACAAACTTTATGTTATAAAAATGCTTCATTTTTATAATTTTGTTGATTAATAACATCGAGTACTTGCTCGGGATCACCTTTTTTTGATTTAATCAATTCAGTAAGTACACCATTTGAATCAACAAAACCCATTGATGTCATACGTTCAATACATTCATCAATCCTTTTTTTGATCTTGAGCTTGTTGATCTTCTTCTGGCGAAACAGTTTTTGTTGTTGTCAAATATTGAAATATTGGAGCAAATATTGTTTGAAATTGTTGAAATAAATTACTTAAAGATGGAACAGTTGGTTTAGATTCTGTACTAGTATTAATTGTTGTTCTTGATTCTTCATTTTTCTTTTGAGATTTTGATTCTTCATCAGTTTGTTTATTAACAGAATAATCACAATTAATAGCAAATGATGAAAGAATTTCACCAATATTTTCAAGTAGAATTGTTTCATTGATAGATTTATCAGGTTGTTCACTAGTTTTAAATTGATTTAATATTTCATTTAATTTTTCTGTACGTAAATATTCTGGTATATAACTTTCGATTAATTCAAATAATTCTTTCCCTTTAAAATGATTAAGAAAATTATTTATATCACATGGAATATAAAGATTAAAAGATCTATTTTGTTGTCGCATAAAATGATACCAGAAACGATGTCCATATTTACATCGATGATGTTGAAAGACTCGTGTTAATTTCAACATATTATATTCAGAATGAAGATTTTTATTCGAACATGTTTGACAAAGATCATAATCTATACATTCCATACATCTGAAAGAAAGAAAAAAAAAAGTTTTCACATTAAAAAAGAAAACTAAAATATATGAATTCTTAAAATTTACTTGTAACGATTACCAATAACAGGACCTTGACATCCATCACAAATAATACCAATATGAATTGCTGTATTTTGATTTAACTGTTCATTTATTTTTGGATTTTGGTTTGATAAAAATTTTGATAAGACCATTGATAGAATAATTTTTTAAAGCTGATTGTAATTCATCATTAGATGAAAATGTAATACGATCATTATCTTCATCTATATATTGTAATGTAAATTGACCTTGAAGATAATTATTATTTAATTCAGAAATTTTTTTTTCCAATGTTTCATAGATATCTTTATTCGATGAAATATCGAGCTATATATATATTATACATAAACATAAAAATCAATGAATAAATAAAACAAAAACTTATAGAAAATCGACGAATTTCAGGTTGTTTTTCAAAAAGATCATTATAATAAACTTTTACAATAATTTGTTGTTGTGTAGATGACATAATGCTTGTTGTTATTATTTTTTTCAGTAGGAAGAAATCGAATAATCAGTCCTACTATTTTATCCTTCTTTTATAATGTTCCCATTGATTACAATGATTAATCATCAGACAAAACACGCTGTCATACACATTCGTACTAAAAGAATAAACTGAATAGTATAAACTACAATCACTATACCATTACTCATTATCAAAAAATGTTTATAATGATGACAATGCTTTTTCTAAAAATTAAAATAACATCTATAAAACGAATGTAATGAAAAAATATCATAAAAGAAGAGTATTATTAATTTTTTTCTTTTATTGAAAAAATAGAAATAAAAAAAAATTTATAAATTTTTTTCTAATACATTGAGTTTTCTGTTGAAATAAAATGCATATGAATGAGACGATTACACGAAGTAGCATAAAATTATTCATTTCCAAAAAAAAAAGCAAACAATTCAAATAAGTTATATTTAAGACACACAGATGTATTGTCATTATCGAAACTTCTATTTGAGAAAGTCATATCTTCAATTGATCTAATCAAAGATCAACAGAACAATACCAATATGATAATAATGTATTGTAGTATAATTTTACAATAAATCGAGAATTCTGGATCTTTTTTTGCTGAATACAGTCACATCATTAGCACTAAAGGCATTACTTGTAAGTGTATTGTTCTGTTTTTTGTTCGTTTATTTTATTGTTCTCAAAAAAATAGTGTTATTATCAAAAGATGTTATAGAAAGGATTCTGCTGACGACACACATAATAAAAATACAAGGCCATTTGTTAATAAAAGGAGAAAAACATTTTAACGTATTTTTTTCCGAGTTAGCTTATCACTGCCATCTTATTTTATTCCATACATTCATTCGCGACAATATTTGCAGAAAAGATCATTATCATCACTTTTGAGATACAAAAAACAAAAGAACGTTAAAAGAAAACAAAACAGAAATAACTATTAAAAATGACTACAGAAAGAACATATATAAGAAAAGTAAATATAACAATGATCTATAATATATTAGAAACATACAAGAACAAAGATGAAATTATAAATATAATTGAAAACATCAGTCTATGATAAAATATTTCTTGTGATGAATGGAACTAATCATTTTTTGTTCTCGATCTGGATCAGAAAAAATTTTTTAAGTCAAATTGTGCGCGTTAGTAATACATATAAAATACGATATGATTTTCTATCAATATCAATAAACTCAAGACATCTTGCACGATTCATATGACCTCTAATAATATCGTCCTTCTTGGAAATTCAATACTGAATTCTATTTTACTAATACTTCGTCTATTCTACACGTTTATGTATTCAAAAACTCTGTTGTGCACATAAAAAAAGACAGGATCCATTTTACCATGAAAATTGTAGTAGCGAATGATAAGCGGAACTAATCACTTATGATTCCGGTCTCGGCCAAATAAAAAAATTGATTCCGATACAGGCTAGACAAAAAAAAATTTGGTATCGATCTCAGTTTCATCGAGACCGGAATCATCTTATCATATCGAGATATTCCTCATACTGTTATTTAATTTATTTACTATGTCTATTGTGTAAATCTCTAATTAGATACTAATGATATCGTACTCCTATCTACACACAATATTAATGTCTTTCATTGTAATATTTTTGTATTTTTCAATGAATATTAATTTCTTGTTTAATATCATTCATGTATTTCTAAAACACAAAGAATCGACCTTACTGAATGCAAGCAGATGAAAATCATTGAATATTGTTTTAAATTTTTTTGAATAACAGAATGAAAACAATGTTTTTGATTTGTGCTTTGGGAATATTCGAATTGTTTAGAATTCTTCGTCTTCTTTTCTTCTCAACTAAAATAGATGTAACTAAAGAAAGAAAAAAAAAAGTGACTTCTTTGCATTTTTGATAAAAACAATCTATTGATTGAGAAACATACTAATTACACTACAGTATATTTATTTAAAAGACAAAATAAATCCTTATAGAATAATACTCAACTTTTAGACATCATATCAACTCCTACAAATTCATTTTCCTTTTTTTTCTTAATTAACAATGTTATGGCTTTCCGGATGTTTACATATTCAAGATGGAACAGTGTTAACTTCTGGAGTGATTCTTCTTCTTCTTCTTTTTTTTCACAGTAGGAGAAAACCATGACATTGAGCGTCTGTCTTTAACAATGTTGACAACATGAGACTTGTATTACACTTGATTCAATTCACTGACAATCTACATTCTATGGAAATTATTTTTCTACTTACATTATTGTTTCAAGTGTATTTCTTTTGAAACGGTAGGACATTTGACATTCTCAACAAGATAATATCTGAGATATTAGGTACTTACTTCAGTGCATTGTTAACAAATACATAGTTTTCAAGAAAAAGAAAAAACTTTTTAGATTTTTTGTGGAGAATAGAACAAGTCTTGTTGATAAACGAATCTCGTAGACAACAAAAAGAAATTATCTGAATCATTACATTTGTTTGAACATCAGTCGAGTGATATGAGACATCTTGAACATTTTTGATAGACGTAAAAAATCTATTTTTAGACCTCAATGAAGTTCAATGTCCGTTCCAGATTCATTAAAAATAGATCGATTTAATGTAGATTGTTTTTTTCAATTAGAATCAACAGGGAAAAAAACAGACTTCTATGCTAACAATCATCAGAAATCATTATAACACATTAAGGATATGAATAATGACTGGAAGTTGTTAAAAAATATCGGAAACTGTCAGAAGTCATTAGAAATCATAGTAAATCTTTACTAATAAGATTAAAAGTTATGTTTTGATTTCTCCCGATTTCCTTTCATTTGTAATCATTTTCCATTGTTTGCGAGTAATAAAAGTCACTAGAAATCAGTTTGTTCTTCCTTGATTAGAATCTATAATAATAATAAAAAAAAAAAAAATTTGTAAAGGTAATAATTTTATTCTATCGATAATCACTATGATCATGCCTTATGATCAAAAGTATTGTTTGTTTGAAACCTACTAACATGAATAAATTCTAGATATTTTTTATCTCGAATGAGTTATTATTATATCAAAAATTACAACGCCTCAAACAGACAAGATTTTACAGCAATGTAGAACAAAACAGTGAACATATGAATGTGATGAAAATCCTTTTTTGTTTTTGAATGTGAATGCACTTAAAATGTTCTTAGCCAGTACAAAACATTCGGAATATTGATTTTTTATCAATGAGAGCGATGAATTAAATAATATTCCCTTACATAACTCACGAAACGTGTCGTGTTGACAATAAAAATAGGAAGATTTATAAGTGTTTTAACACATAAGCAGCAAAAATGCTTTGTTAACGATGTGAAATCATAGGACAAATCATTCTCATGGGTATCTCCCCTTATTATTTATCTTTTTTTTTTGATATAATGCCAACGCGTAAAATGTGCTTACGTTCTTGGCAATTTCACACTATGTATTCCAAGTCAATATTTTGTGCGTATTTTATAAAACATTTGTTTTTTCTCTACCTTTTTGATAAGAATACATGTTTATATCTTATATAAAATATCAAACAATAGATTTTATCTCGGATGAGAAAAAAAAGCAGATTTAATTCAAGGACATTTAATTATAAAATAGAAGAATGAAAAAGAAAAACAAGGATTATATTCCGTTATTCAACTGTTAATAAAATATATGGTTCAAGTAAAGAAATTTCTTGTGTTCGATATTTTATCTTCATTTATTGAGTTTTCTATAATAATGACAAAAAACAGTTGTTCTCGGACTTATTTTTCCATTTAGAATCATGTTCATGTGGAATTTTTCTCATCTGTATAAAGTTATCTAAATACTTTTACTTAGCGCCGGTAGCGCAGATTAAAAACATCCAAATATACTTTCAAAAAGTCATTCAATAGAGAATTTTTTTACTCTACAAAACTATTGTATTTATTTTTCAATTAAATTTTTGTTTTCTTGTAGCAAAACTTGAAATATTGAACACTTAATCGGCCAATTGTAACACTCAAAAAAAAAATGATGCAATTCAGTTTTTTTTTTTGAAATGGTAAGTAATGCCATAAAATTCTGCATTTTTTTGATAATATTTGCGAGAATAATTATGAGAGGAAAAAATTCTTGTCTGACAAGATTGCATGATTGTTTCTTTTCTTTTCTTCTTTTTTTTTTTGTTATATTTAGATAGAATCTAATTGTTTGTAATCTTCAACTTAACAGTCACAATAGTTTATTTAAAATTAAATTCCATATCTGACAACACGAGAATGAGTACTGCATACAATAAGTCCTGCTTTGTAAAGAACATGTCTCCTTGACCTATATAGAAAAAACATCAATAAGTTTTAGTTCTAAACGTTCTTTTTTCTTATAAATGCGGTTGTGTCAGAAAACTTGAAAAGATCGTAGAAATGAAAAATACAAAATTCTCTATTCATCAATGTTAATAGTATTATTTTTTTGATTGATAGATATCTACAGAAAATTGAAAATAGCAATGAGATGATTGAATTGATGTTTATATATTTTAAATTTTGTTTTAACAAAAAGAAAAAAATTTTCTATTGAATGATATTGTGAAAATATAACAGAATGATCTAAAAGAAAAAAGATATTGTCTAATTTAATCTGCATCACGTGCTATACTCATGTTCAAGATAATCGGCTATGAAG